GATTATTTTTGATTATTTTTGTTTATATTTCGTAATTGGCAGTCTCAATAAGTCCAATTATTATTTTATTTCATTAGGCATCTTCAATAAGTTCTGTTATTTACTTTAAAACTATTTGTTAATTTCTTTACTTCTTTTTAAACTTTCACTTTATTTTTCTATTCATTTTTATTCTTTATTGATAATAATTTAGTTTGTTTATATACAAGCTACCACAGGAGACTCTTAGAATCTTTAGTGAACTCTATTAATTGTAATTCATTTAGTCTTTGTTCTTTCACTGTTATATTACTTTGTTAATTCATTAATTTTAACAATTTTTGAATTAACGAGAACAATACTTTCATGACAAAACATAAAGTCATATTAAAATGATAACAATATGTAGAAATAATACAAATCATTGAATTTGAAAATAAAATAAAAGAAAAATATTAAAATTAATAACACACTTTATATTCATATTACTATAATTGATATAAAAATTATTTTGAACAATTATATGAAATAAATATTATATATAATTCAGAAAATAAATAAAAAAAAGTTTATAATAATAATATTTATAATTTTTTATCTCAGAATTGGTCAGAAATCTCTTATAACAATTATTATTTTTCTTATAACTGATCACAAAGTGATAATAAAAATAATAGTATTACTAGTATTTTATAATTATAATTAAATAATAATAATAATATTGAATAAGAAATACAATATATTATTAAATAATTTCAAAAATATTAAGCAAAAAAAGAAATACAATCACAAATTAATAATATGAAAAAGATATCAATGTTATCACTTTATATTTAAAATATACTATTTTATTCAAATAAAAGAATAAGTTTATTGAAACTGAAACAAATAATTATAAGAACTAATATATAAAATAATAAAAGAATTAATAGAATTCTTGTAATATAGCACAAATTATAGAACTAAATACAACAATTTGGAAAATTGAAATGATAATTAGATCAAAATATAATTTCATAATAAAAGATCTATATTATTTTAATTTATCCCAATAATATCATATTCTAATTTTTTGCATAAATAATTATCAAATTAATTTTATTTTAATTTATATTAATTATTAATTATTATATTTAATTTTAACTTTTAATATTAGATTAATATAGTATAATTTTTGAAAATCCAAAAACATATATATATCAAATATCCTTAAAAATTTTATATTCAATTTTATTTTTTATTAATTATATTTTTTATTTTTAATTTTTTATTATATCAAATAATATTATTAAAAATATTTTACTTGAAATTCAACAACTAGTCATTAAACTTTATAATAAGATATAACAATAATATCCTGAATTTTAATTAACTATTGATAATAATAAATTTCAATTTATCAATATTCCACCAGCATATGAAAAAAATCTAATATTACAGTTAAGAATAATTATAATTAAAGATCATTAACTGAATTTGAAACAAAAATTATTGAATATATTGCTCAAATTTCAGTTAACTTTGAACAAATAAATACTTTACCAAAATATTTTGTAAGTAAATTTTGTCTTGTGATATATAATGACTTTATAATACTCAAATAATTCATTATTATAGCTTTGTACTTTAAAATTGATCAAATTATAAAAGACTTAACCAATAGAATAACTATTGCTCAACAAAGCACTAAAGTACAATAAATTATTAAGCAGTATATTTTATCACAAAATTCTCTTAAAAAAGCTTATATAGCTATAAGAATTTACAATTATTTTGAAAATTTTACTAGAATTTTGAATTATAAAAGAATTAATATAGTCAAATTGAAAGATTGAATCATGCAAAAAGTAATAGTTTGAAAAAATAATCATAATATTTGAATTACTTGCACAAAATTCAGAAAAAGTAATTCTATCATTATTAAAAGACAATTTTACAAAATAAAATATTTAACATCAAGAGTTCTATTATAATTTAATATTTCTTATATTTAACTTAAAATAATATTATTGGATAATCATATTAATAATTTATATTTGAATTTCAGTTTGAATTTCAGTTTGAATTTCTATTTGAATTTTTATTTAAATTTTAATTCAAAATTTAATTCAATCTATAATTTTATTGAATATTTAATTTTTATAATTTATTTATAATATAATATATATTTTAGTATAAAATTAAGTAAGTTAATTAATTTAGGTTAATCAAGTTGAACTTGTTTTTGTTATATATTCCTTTCTTACTTTAGTTTTTTTATAATCTCTTGTCTTAATTGTGAAGTTATTGTTATTATTTGATTTATAATCTCTTATTATTACTATAAAGTTATACTTCTTATAATATTTATAATTAATCTTTTATTTATATAAGTGAAGTCAATAGTATTTAATTGAATTAATAAAAGAAATTATATTTGACTTGTTTATAAACTAATTATTAAAAAAATATAATTATCTTTTGAATCTTTCTGATCTCATTTTAGCTAACCAATAAATAAATATTGTTAACATTAATAGTCTTTATGGATAAAAATCTTTACTATACAGTAAGTAATGACTATATGCACATAAAAAAACATGAAGAAATAAGCAAAGTATAAATTAATTTTCTAATATTATTATGTGTTAGTCAAAGTACTAAAAAGATTCACAAAGAATCTAATAAATTCACTAAAAACTTAAGAATAATATGAGTTTCAAAGAATAAAGTGAGTTTATCAAGAACTCAAAGAATTATGAAAGAGTTTATAAAGGATAGAATACAAAGTTCTTTAATATACAAGTATTACTTCATCAAGAAGTAATTTAGATTTACCAAGAATTTTTATTATTAATTAAGAAAAGAAAATACAAAGTAATCAATTCTTTTGATGAACACACAATAAATTAGTTATTATTATATTTATTAAAAAATAAAAGCAAGAAACTTTATTAATACTAAGTTATCTGAATATATCTTTTCTCTAGTTAAGATATATACTATATTTATAATAATTATTTATTATTTGATCTTCTCAATTTAGAATTAATCTATTCTATTTAGAATGAAACTTAATTCATTCTATAAATTATTTTGTGATGCTTGTCTCAATATTTTACATCTTTTACTTGAGTATAATTAATTGTGACAGATTAAAACGAAACCAGATTAAAACGAAACCAGATTATAATAAAATCAAATCAAAATAAAATTTGGATCTATTTTTATGGAATAAAAATTTCAGAGAAGGGTTAGGGTTAGGTTAGAGCATAGGGTATAGCATTAAAATCTGTAGTAAATTGACCTATGATTATTTAAACATCACACTCTGTTTCGTTTTAATCTGGTTTCATTTTAATCTGCCACATTAATTACTATGAATTTTTCATACTAGCAATAATAATATAAAAATAATATGAATCAAATACAATTAGTATGAAATATAAATAAATATAATTAAAATAGAATAAAATATAATTAAAATAAAATAAAATAATATGAAATATAGAATGGGTAATATAAATTAAAAGAGATTATAATTTGTAAATTATATATTTACTAATTATCCAATAGAAATATATTTTAAATAATATAATATATCTTATATTAGGTGCTAAAAATATTACATGATGATAATATATATTAGTAAACTCTTTCACTTTAAAAGTTATTTATATAAACTCTTTCACCTAACTTTATCTTACATGTTTTACTATGTTTTCTTATGTGATAAAGCTTAAAATCATATAAAATGGTAACAATACTAAAAATAAAGATACTTTTTATTATTATATATCATTAGCAATATTATCTAATAATTTTAATATAAAATATCTTTGAAACAAGCAATAATTTGAAATATAACATATATAAAGAAGCTTTTTAACTTGTAAAAAACATTAATTAATTAATTATAACTTGTTCTTTAATTATAAATTATAATAAAATATCATTTATAAAAATAACAAATTAATTTTCTATTAAATATATTCTACTATATTGTGATATATTTTGATAATAATTATCTACTAATTCAATATATTAACTATACTTTAAATATTTTTTTAATAATTTTCAAATATATATAATTATATACTAAAGATTTTGTATAATTAAATATTTTATAGAATTTTTTCAAAAAATGAAATTTCTTAAAACTTTTTGATAATTTATTTTTGTTTTTGATAGCTATTAATAACTTTATAATTAAAATACTTTTCAAGAAATAACATATTTTAAAAAAATTTTTTCTTAATTTTATTATTAATTAATATCAAGTTTAAATAATATTAGAGTATCTAACAGATTTTTGTATATAAAAAATATTTAATTTTCTAATTTTCTAAATTTTTTCAAATTGTACTACATGTAGTACAAAAATATAAATTCAATTCATTAAAAAAAGTATTTTTATTAAAATTTCTGATTTTTTGCTAATATACATTGTTTGATTTAACAATAATAAATAAATATTATGTTTATTTGTTTATAATATTAGCAATTGTAACAATAACTAGGTAAACTAATAATCATTCACATTTAAGTTAGCCTTTTTTTACAATATGTTCAAAATACTTTTATAATAAAAATTCCAATTACATTTTTATATTTATACTTACCTTATCCAACTAGATATTATTTATGTGAATAACCTTGGAGAAATATTCATTGCCATTAATTCTTGAAATAATAATTTGCAAGCATATGGAATGTGAATTTGAGATATCTGCAAAAGAGAAAAATAGGTGTAAATTGAAATACTGTAAAGAATTCATTTTATAATATATGAATTTGTATAAAAACCTGTGTTGTATTTTTACAAGCCTTGCATTCAAAAGTATTTTTCTTTAGATTTGCAATAGCCATTAAACCACAAATATCACACACATGAACACGATAGGCATCCGACGCATCAAAAAGACGTTCCTTTTAATAAAAAAGAAATCATGTATAAGTTTAATAGAATAAACTATCAATTTGATAGTAAAAAATAAAATACCTTACCTTTAAAAACATTGCTGTACCATGAGATATCATGCAATCTCTCTCCATTTCACCAAAACGTAAGCCACCATCTCGACTACGTCCTTCTACAGGTTGTCTGGTCAATATTTGTACAGGTCCTCTTGCACGTGAATGAATTTTATCATCAACCATATGCTTAAGTCGCTGATAATAAGTTGGTCCGAGAAATACTTGAGCTGCCAATTTACGCCCTGTATGTCCATTGTACATAACCTCAAAGCCACGTGATTGATATCCTTGACTTCTAAGGCTAGCGGAAATGGCTTCAACTGTTACTTCTGTAAATGGCGTTGCATCACCTTCACTCCCAGTTAAAGTTGATACCTTATAACAGAAATTCGAAATGAAACAGGTTATTTGTGAAAAAAAATAATAATTGATATTTTTACCTTGCCTAGCAAACATTCGACCAAGTGACCTATTGTCATACGACTCGGGATAGCATGCGGATTGATAATAAGATCAGGAGTTATACCCTCAGCAGTGAACGGCATATCCTCTTGTCGATATGTAATACCGATGGTTCCCTTCTGACCATGACGACTGGCAAATTTGTCTTTTGGAAATTTGAAATATTCGAGATTAAGTATATTTATTCAATATTAGATAAAAAGTGTAAATGTAAGTAATTACTCTTTCAAGACAGTCGGAAACTCACCTCCCATTTGAGGAATACGCGTACTACGAACTCGTACTTTTACAAATTTCATCCCTTCTTGGTTTGTAGTGACCATAACTTGATCAACTATTCCAGTTTCTGTGCTTCTCAATGGTGTGGATGCATCACGTTTAGTGTGTGTATTTTGACGCTGACCAAGCTCCATTGTATCTGGTGGAATGGGTGTCACTTTCCCAATAATAATATCATCTCCAGATACACGTGTACCAGGGGCGACCAATCCGTCGTCTTCGAGTTTCTCGTAGGTACCATGCTTAAGACGTAATGTAGATTCTTTAGTTGGTTTCTCAAATTCTTCTATTGTCAACATTCCCTATAAAATATTGAGGGTATTTGCAAATATTTATATTATGGAAAAAAGTGGTTATGGTATAGAAAGTAATTTACTTACCACTTTCTTTTCTTGATCCATATAACTACGATAAAACATACTTCTAAATAATCCTCTGTCGATACTACTTTGATTCATAATAACTGAATCTTCTTGATTGTAGCCACTATAGCATAAAATAGCGACAATAGCATTTTGACCAGCAGGCAATTCACGAAAACGTAGAAACTCCATTGCACGTGTTGTGACCAGTGGTTTTTGTGGATAGTAAAGTATGTTTGCCAATGTATCCATTCGTAATTGATAATTTGTGACATAAATACCCATGGCTTGTTTACCCATAGCTGATTGATAGGTATTACGTGGTGACTAAGTAGAGAAACGTAAGTGACAATAGAAAAGAACTGAATCTAAAAATATCAACTTACTTGATTGTGATCTGGGAAAGGAATAATACTGGCACAGATCCCCAAAATCATACTAGGATGAATTTCACAATGTGTCCACGTATGAGTGTATGTGGCAGAGTTACTCTTCACCCGAGCAGCAATATCTCTTTCTTTAGGTCTTTCCTCTTCTATTGGTATTCCTTCATGATATCTTCGCGATTCTGCTAAATCTTCAGGAGTCATACAAATCATAATAGTTTCTTCTTCTTCTGCGTCGATAAGCTCAATGACTCCATTGGAAATTAAATCTTGCCAGCCAAATTTTTGTTTCTTGTCTTTTTCTACGGCTTGTTCAGCAAGAGCTTTCTAATAATTAAATTAATAAATTATTTACTCTAAAAATGGCCGAATTAATTAGTAAATCTTTAAATTCTTACTCACCGCTTCTTCTAATTTACGTATATGTTGTTTTGTTATCAGCAATCTCGAGTTCTGCACGATAAACAATGGACGACAAACTCTTCCAGCATCGGTATATAATCTCAATTCCTTTTCACGAATATCTCGGACAACACTGACTTCGGGGCTCACGTCAACACAATGTCGCAAACGCTTGAGTGTATCTACTAATGCCTCTGGATCAATAGATACACCCGCCCAACTGCCATTTACAAAAACTTTTGTATATTCATTCATTCCAATGCTGGCACCAGATTGCAATTCTTCAAGGTTTGTCATTCCCCACTCTTCTAAGAATTCAATGATTGGTCCAGATGAACTTCCAACTGAAATATATGACATCAAAGCAAGATTTTTGACCAATCCACAGGCTTGTCCTTCTGGTGTTTCAGCAGGACAAACCATACCCCAATGAGTATTATGAAGTTGACGTGGCTTTGCAATTTTTCCGTCACGACCCATAGGTGTATTACATCTCCTTAAGTGAGATAACGTGGAAGCAAATGTATACCGATTTAGCACTTGAGAAACGCCAGCCCTAGCCTAAGCGAGACAGGAGAATATTTACAAATATATTAATAAACTCTCAAATAAAAAAAAAACATTTTTAGCCAAAAAAATTATCTGAAAACTACCTGCATTGCTTTCTTTTGATCACCCCAATTTCCAGTCGCTAAGGAATATTTTAGTCCGTTGGTAATGGTTTGCGCTTTGATAGCAAGATTAAGATTAAATTCGCGACTTGTATCTATACACTATTTTTATGATTATAATAATTATTATTATTTAATATTACATAATTTAGAAATTAGCAAAATAATGAACCTTTCTGAGATATGCTCCGATGTCTTTTGTGAGTTTTTTGAAAAGCATACGGAACAAGATAGCTAAAAGAGGTCCAGCAAGATCCATTCTCTTTTTGCCATAATGATCACGATCATCCAATTCTCGACGGTTAAGAGCAGCAAGAAGTAATCGATGCACCATATAACCAAAAAAGAATGCCTTTTTTGTCTCACACCTAAAGGTTGTGCCCACATGAGGTAGCAATTCTTTTTGCAAAATTTCCTTTGCATATCTAATTTATATATACTTTCAGAATAAGAAATTTACTATGATGAAATTAATTTCTATGAACATGAAATGCTACACACTTTATGCGTTTATCTTTGGTCGCGCCACTTGTTGTGCCTCTACGACCGATCCAGTCTAATGCAACCTATTATATTATCTGTTAAGGGTTGCCGGAAAAGTTAAAATATTTATGAAAATTCCAAATTACCTCTTGATTTTGGATTGCAAAAGCTTCTTCGATGCATGGCTTTAAAGCTTCCAGCATTTGAGTATCAAGAGGATCATAGCAAATATGATTTAAAAAATCCTTATCTGCCACCAGACCAAGGGCACGAAACACGATTAAAACAGGCACATCTTTTTTTATATATGGCATATTTGCGTGTATAAATTGGCCAGTAGCCTGAATTAATGATAAAACAATTATCAGTATAAAATTTACAACAGTTCTAGATTTAAATACGTACGCCTTTTTCGGCCGTTTTTGCCATTAATTTAATAGTTAACTGATTTACTGTCTTTGAACCTTTTTCAACAGCACTTTTTATTTCTGCTGTATAAGAATAAGGAGATGGTGCCGATTTCGCAAATACATATACAGTATTTGATGCCATTCTTTCTTGTGCAATCAAAACTTTTTCAGACCCGTTTATAATAAAGTAACCACCCTGTAAAAATGTACAGAATTAGAAATTAGCAATTTAAAATAATTAATGTTACAATAAAAGGAATTAATTATAGTTTGTCTTATCACTTGGTCATATGGACATTCATTCAAAGAATATAATTCTCGATCGCTCAATTTACTTAATACACAGAAATCCGATCTCAGCATAATGGGAACCTAAATTTGATGCAGATATAATTAAAAGACATGTATGTACAAGAAAGAATTCATGACTGAATTACTATTTTAAAATCAGAAAATTCATAGTATATACCTTCCCCACAAATACTTTATCAAAGCCACCAGGCGTATTTTGGCTATTGTCCTCTTCATCTTCTAGATGTTCTTCATCAAACATCTCATTCACGTTTGGCCTATCTTTATTTTCAAGAGCTCTTGGATCTGCGTCTACAGTTCTTTTTTTCATATCCACGTAAAGTGGTGCAGCATACCTAAAATAAAATAGATGTATTAATCTACTTGATATTAACCTCAAGGTGCAACGATATCTTACGTTAAATTTCGAAGGCGCGCCTCTTGAGGAAACATTGCTTGCACACTCCCGTCAGCCTCGGTCATAGTTGGTTTCGATAAGTAAACTTGACCGAATTGAATGTAATACCGTCGCTAGTATACCAAATATAACATTACTTTCTGGCGACTGCTAAATAAAAAAAATGGTGAAACCTTACCGCCTGGTCACCTTCACCACCGCCTTGTATGTTCTGCAAAACTAAAGATCTATTTTCATCGACTATTTCTTGCATTGTGTTTTGGACAAATTCATCAAAAGAATCTAGCTGCTGTCGGACAAGTCCTTTGTCATTAAAAAAGGAAGATATGACCGTCCAGCAGTCTTCCTGTGATATTTCTTCATCTGGATCTAGTGTTTCTCCTGAAGATGGAGGTGGGTATTCCTGTGGAATTTGCGAGTAATCGGTGTAGCCATTAGGTAAATTAGAAGGAGAATCAGAGTAATTTTGATAAGAATTATCCATGAACAAATGTGAAAGTATTAAGTATTCAGATCTGTTATATATCGATGTATTAATACTACCAGAATTATAACCTAGAGTGCTGGGGTTTAGCCAAGATTTGCTAGTATTATGATAATACCGGCCGACTTGTAGATTAAGTCGAATTTTATTATAATATTGTACCAAGGAAACCTTAGTAGAATACATTAAATAATATCGTTATGTCATGTGCAATAGTTCAGCTATAAAATTTTCACAAGTGGGAAAGAATAATCAATATCAATGGATTCTATTCGTCATGAAATTTTTATTTTTCACGCGTGAACTTTTTTCCATTCTTCTTTTCATGAATATTTTCGCTGATCTGCTGAATATAGTGTGGTGGATTTGAAGATGAAAGTGATTATTTTTGTGTGTCAATAACATCTTTCAACACGACCACTTGTTCAAATTTATTTGCAAGATCAGTTAGAAATTGGTCGATATTTCTATTATGTCCATTCAAAAATCCTATTATGTTTGGTATTGCCTTGTGAATGGTGACTTGTTCGGTAATTGTTATCTGAGTAGATTCTTTGCCAATCGATTCGAATTCAATTATCCAACTACCACTTAGATGGACTCCTTTTTCACGTACGATCTAGTTACGTTTACGTTTACATAAGAGAAGTATTAATACACATTAATAACATAGATATACAAATCACCCAATACTAAAAGAAACAAATTACCTCTTGTTTAAACATTTTACCTTCGTATCGTTCAATTACGCGATACTTTATGCTTCCATAAGGAGTGAGTTCTCGGAACCATTCAAAACCATCAGGAGGTATGTGTCCGTGGGGACTGGTCTCAATCTTTGTTAAAGTTGAACGCCAACGTGGATAAGAACTAAAGTCGGTAACCACATTCCATAATTTTTGACTTGGCAATGGAAATTTTGCAGTTCTTTTACACACATGGTGTTTAGGTATTAGAAATATTATTAGAAATGATAATGTAGAGAATCCCAATATAAATAAAGAGATATAATTTTCCGGATATATAGGTATGATGGTGTTCCACGCACGGTTAGCAAAAAAGCCGGTAGTTATAGTCATTTTTTTCCTGTTTTTATTTTTCTTAATAACAAGTGCTTCTAAGAGGTATCGTTATATAAATAGACGCGTAAAAGGCGTCGTCTGAAAAATTCCCGAGGAATAATATTTTAATATTGATATCTCTTCTGTCTGCTATTATAAAGAGAGCTTAAGAGAGACGAGAGTAGAAGGGTTTCCGGGGAACAGACGTATTCACTCGTTAAAGAGTTAAAAAGGGGGTTTGATAGTTTACGAGTCATGTTGTGTGAAAGTTTGCTTTGCTGTGTTATCCAGCTAGAAATATAATTTTTGTGTGACATTGGGATGTTCCATATCGGATCATCTTATGGGTAATAAATCAAGTCAAAACTCGAAAAAACGATAGGTTTAAAAGTTTATTTATATTATTCGTTTTATCAAGCTCTTTGTTAATAGGTTGGTTCCTAAAAATTCTTCGTTTTAACGCGAGTTCGCTTTATCGAACTTGTATTCAGCATCTCTTTACTCGCATCGATATTGTGATGACTATTTGATTAATAAAGTTATATTATATAACAATGTGACACCTTTATTATAACAAATTTTTAAGAATTGTGTTATATAGAATTCTTTTTGTTATTATTGAGACTTACATGTAGTACTAAGTGAAAAATCCGAATTAATTAATTTTCCTATTGAAGGAGTGAACATGTATAAATAAATTGTCGCACACAAGAAGCTCTGCTCCTCGTGTGCAGCAAATCTATACATTATATCCTTAACGTTAATCCTTAATCTTTATTTGTATATCGATATGGAGAATAGTTCTTCTCTTCCACAGCATTCTCGTCCTCCCACAGATCATGAACGTATTCACGATACTTTGGAAAACGATTTTAAGCGAATGGACAAAATGTTTGCCAAGGGAGAGAATTCTTTTTTCGGTAGCAAACCTTATAGTACTAAGTAACATTTTATTATCTATATATATATATATATATATTCTCATTATCTATATTATTCGTCTAGGTCGCAATTCTGATAACGTTTTCAAAGATTTAGATTACATTCGAAGGAAGCAAATTGAATTAGCACATCAACATGTTGCTTTAGAGAATTCTCAAGACGAAGAATTGTGAGTATTGTTTATTATTTTACAAGTTTTTTAATTAGAGGTGAGGAATAATTCATCAAGAAAAGGATGAATTTGATTCATAATGTGTAGACCTGTTATACCGACGGAAGATTCTGCTGAAGCTTTTAAACGGAATGCGGATTTATTCGTGAAAAAAGAACAGGATTTGAATAATTTGATGGGAAACCTTAATAATTTAATGGAAAAGGTAAGAAATAAGATGTCCTTTAATCGAAATCCGTTTTTTATTATCTAATTCTTGTGTAATTAATTAATTAATTAGCTTGAAGATTTGGAACAGTCAATGGGTCAACCATTAAAAGTTTCAAAGCCAAAATGATTGTTTGTATTTACACTTCTTTCTTTCTTGCCTTGTAAGCATTTAGATAATTTATTAGAATATTATGTAAAATAATAGAACTTTCGCTTGATTGATAAATCCGGTTTATCGAGGCGGATTACAACTGTTCCTGGTTTTAAAATTTTGTTTGTACCTCTTTCATTCCTTTTTTTGTCATGTACAATAATTAACGTTAACCATTTAAAGTATTCGATAAAAGGTTGTGTTCAGGAGCCTTCAAGGTATACTAATATCACTCGCTTTATTTTCGTGTGGAGGGTAAAGAAAAATCACCACCTACTTCGTCCTTTCCTTTCCTTTCCTGACTTCTTACTTTCTCTTTAACCAAAGAAATGTATTTTGACTAGTAAATTCTGCTGTGTGCAAATATCGTGAATAATGTGGTTTAAGATAATAACCTTCTTGGGGGTTATTATCTATGATAATGATTACAATAAGAAGAAATTTCGATTAAAGAAGAAACTTTCAATAAAATTCTTAATATTTTACTTTATCTTGATTTCTTCTCCCATTTATGCATCGGATGCCGATGACTCCAACAATGTAGATATTAGTTCAACAATCTCTCAAGACGGATATACCACCGCAGCATCCTCTTTAAGCATCAGCCCCTCTATTATTGCTCCAGCAACCATAACGTCTTTGAATGTAGCTTCTACTACTGAAATTACTAATACGACTCCTTTACAGACAATTATTTCTGTAACCACTTCACCGATTAGTCCTTCCTCAACTTTTACCAGTAATAATGTAATTTCTACTGTTTCTTCGAGTAATAATAGTATTAGTGGTGATGGTAGCAATGATAGTGATAAAAAAGATTATTCACCTGCGTATAATGCAACCTATGGAACACCTCGTAAGCAAATTTTATTGGAAAATACACATCCAATTATGCTGTTTATTTACTTATTCATGTTTTTACCTAGCACAACCATTAAGAACTACAATTACTTGGAGTAATGTGTTCTATGGTGTATTTTTCATATGCGTTGGATTATTGGAGGTTTTTCACGGTTACAAGTATATTCGAATTACCTTATTGATAATGGGTTATCTGTTCTTTTGTAAGTAAAATATTATTATATGGATCGATCAGTCAATTACAATTAGAATTTATTACTGACTTCTGAACATTAATAGCGAGTACAGCTCTAATAATTTTACTTTTTGTGGATAATAATTCTGGCGGTAAAAGAACAGTCACTTTTTATTTCACAACCTGGTTATTGGTTGGATTAATCGGAGGTTCACTTGGTTTCTTTTGTTGGCATTTGGGCTTAATGTTAACTGCAGCTTATGGAGGGTAATAATTTTTATTTATGTAAATAATATGTATTATTGTTATTTTTTCTCAATTAATTATTCTTATTTACAGTTACGTACTATCATTATCACTTCTTGCGATTTTAAACATCGAAAACCACGTTATTCGATGGATAACTGCTCTAATAATGATGCTTCTGCTAGCAATAATGGTACATTACTTTGAACGGACTGTAATAATTTTCACCACATCTATTGTCGGTGCATATTCAGTAATGTATGGTGTGGATGAATTCGCTCGACAAGGATTTCGTGATATGATTCAGTTAGCTAACGCGGATGGATTCTTTAGATTTCATCCAACCCTGGGAGTTTATTTAATGATTGCTGGTGTGATTTGTTTAGCTGGTATTGGTATAGTCTATGAGTATCGTGCACATGAAAAACCAATTGGTCATTTCTGGTGTGGAGATGGACATCGAAGACGTGAAGGAAGTGCTCACTTTGAATTGGTTTCTCCACCACTAATGACCGCGAACTATATCTCTCCACCACTACCACTACCACTACCACCACCACCTCCACCTCCACCTCCGTTATCACTTCCCCCAACAGCCCTTACTGGTATGACTAATCAAACTGCAAATAATCATCCGCAAACATTGTCATCATCATCACCATCATCATTTCCAAATGGTAAACAAACGTGTTTCGTTAAATTATTTGGAAGAAAACCAAAATCAAAACATTTTTCTCTTTCATCAACAATGTCCAAAAACACTCGACCGTCAATTTTTACAAGTAATTATCCAATCACTGTTACAACTACCACAACAAACGATAATCTCATCATTAACAATGCTCCTATAAATAATGATACTATCTCCATAGATATTCTACCTGCTAATAATAATGATCATAATCCTCTATTACATCGCAATCCTACTTTATCATCATCATCATCATCATCATCACCACCACCACCACCACCAAATTCTACTTAACGTGATAATAATTTATTAACAGTGTCATTACTATTACTATTATTGTGTATTTTTTATTTACAAATGCGACTCCACCCGATGTATATAATCATAATTCATTGAAAATGTATATTATGATATATCGATATATATATATATATACTTGTATATTATCATCATTCAATATAAATCTTATCGGCATCGAGATAATGATCATCTTTTAAGATGTTTGCTCATTTTTTTTGCTCACTAAAATGTCATCAATAAAATACACAAAAATCACCTTCACAGAACCAGAATGGCATTACTTGAGAATACGAGCGTAAGTCAGCTACATGTGCCATTATTAATTATTATTGAATATATTTTATATATTTTATGATTTATATGTATAATTATAATACAATATAGATATTTAGATCCACCAACAAATCCAATTCCACGTATCTCCTCACTCACTTTACGCACTCTAATCACAAAAGCAATCACTGAAATATTTGGCGTGGTTAAAAGTGGAATTCACGTAGACGTGCTTGATTGGCCAAGCGATGACGAGATTTTCGAGGAATTTAATTCTACTTCAAACACTCTAAAAAAGGAAATTAATGATGGAATTATACGAGTGCCAACAGGGTTTGTCTTTCATCCATAATATTTTTTTCCTAATTTAAAAGTTTTTCTAAAATTTAGGGTTTTTTCAGAGATTTGACAACAGTTTGGAGTGCGTTGACTTTATATAGTACAACTTTAGACGTGGGAAATTCAGATATTAAAAAGGAATTACGTTTTGAAGTCTTAAATAGTTCTCCATATCTTATGGGATTGGTTGCCGATAGTCGGGCCTGGGGCAGACAATTATTTTATGGATAATGATATGATGAATTTCTTCTTTACTTTCGGTCCAAAGTTCAAAATTGACAAAACAATTTAGACACACTAAGCAAATGCATCTATAAAAATTATATATTAATATATTATTTGACTGATTTCCTTCCTTTATCAATTCATTTTCGTCATTTATTCAGCATTACCATCAACATGATTCGTATTAAATCCATTATCATCATTCACAATTTCAATTGCTCGTTGTACACTCTTTACTTCCTCACCACATCTCAAACACTGCCACGTTCCGTCCTCAAATATCAATTTACTTTTTATACAATAATAACAATACTTGTGTCCGCAATTGGTCTCGTATGGATTATTTAATTTTGAGGCATTTGCGCTCGAATGAGAGGACGATGATGATGATGAGGTTTGATTTTCATAACAAATGGCGCATATGTGTGCAGGGAGGAAATCAAGAGTATTGGATTTTGTGTATGAGGTCGGTAGAAGCATGCGTTTCATGATGTTTTTCAGTTTACGAAGATTTATGAGTGGCATCAAGAATAATAGGAATTCCTATTACAGATATATATTAATAAAAAATAAAGATTGATAAAATCAAATCCTATTATTAAACATATACATACTGTGAATGCATGCCAAACCAATTGTCGATTTAGAAATTCAAAGTTAACTTGTCGATTCGTTGTACGGCGAGCATATACAAGACGCATAAATAAAATACGATCAATTAATGATCGGTATCTAAACATTCAAGAAAGATCAATAATTATTTCATATACATCCTATCATATCATCGACACATTACTCACTTGCCATCATACAAGAAAAACAAAAAATTCGCCAAAGAAAGTGTTCGATAAATATTTTCTACTTTTTGCATAAATTTCCAAAATACTCTACGAATATCGTTCTAAAGTGAATATAAATATAAATGTAAGCGATTAAAAATAGACTATTAAAAAAAAACAAGATCTCACCTCAGCCAATTCACCCCATCCTTGTGCTGTCATCAGTCTGTTTAGACGCATCCAGACATACTGACCACCGACAGTCAAAGCACCATAACTAATTCTTTGGAATTTTGATAACGGTTCATCGGCAGAAGTTGATTGCACTTAATTAAAAATTGATTTGATCAATGTAAAATTACGGTATCGATTAGACGTCATATATTGAAATGCGCACATCCACCCACATGCCGCTTCTCATTACGATATTTCATATTTTGTAGTTGTGCACCATACGTCGCACCGCTTTCATATATCGAAAAACGATACAGCACGAATTGCAGTACGGCTAATAATTCAGGTTCAAATGTTTCTTTGAAATTTGGCTTAAAAATCATAAATTATCGGTTAATAAGGAACGAAATGTCTAAATATACAAGTTCCAGTTCTGATTCTATATGATATTTACAGAGAACAGTCCAAAAGCAGTCAATAGTTGCTCTTTTAACATTCCAAACAGTTCATTATCTAACAGGTCAGCATCAAGTTGGCTCACACGCATAATACGTAGAGGTGGTGACGGGAAAGTTCCCAAAGACTGGCGTATTTCGCTAAGCTTTGTTTGTGCTTTAAGCCATTCGTTTGACCAGAAATTTTTTGACATGTCACTAATTTCTTTGATATTTACAACACTAAAGGTTGAGGTGTAGAAGCATTATTATTTATCCAAAAAACTAAATCACGTGATGCATTATATTCTTTTCTAATATGTAATAATACCAATACAAAGTACTAAGAATAATACTAATTTATTTATAATTTTCTCAAAATTTTTAATAAAATGTTTTACTAATTAATTTTTGAATTATAAAATGGATAAACTTTATTATTTTTTATAAAATTACAAGTAATTCTTAATATAAGAAACTTTTAATATAAAAAAACTAGCTAAAATTCAATATAATAAAGTTGAGCTCAAAATTGCTTATAATAAATTTACTCAATATAATAAACTCTTAATATGAGAAAGATTTATAATATTAATTATTATTTTTATTGTAATATTAATTATTATTTCTTTTATTAAGTATTAAATAATTATATATTTAGTTTTTCATGATTAAAACAAGTTAACAATTGATTATTATTAATTATTAAGAGAAAT